CCACCGCGGGCTCCAGCGACTGCAGCCCAGGACCGACTCCGAGGCTTGGAAAGCGGCTGCAGTGGCGAACGCTGACTTTCCCGGCTCCCCAGCTGCGCCCTCGGCTGAGACACCAGTTCGCTCCTCGCACAGGCCTGGGCCGAGACGCCTGCCGGCGATCTCCTATTTAAACAGTTTCTTAATCTCGAGGCGGACCCGGCCGCTGCATGATGGCACACGCTAATACTTCGTACAGTATTTTGATGTTTCTTTGGCTTTAGTTGCTGCCTGACCTCCGGGGTGAGAGTTACACAAAGGAGCGAGAAGGATCACTCTGCTCGCGCTCCCTGGCCTCCAGGGGAAGAAAAAAAAAACCTTCGAGTTCGTGAATTAACTGGCCTTTTTCTGTTACTAAGGTTTAACTTAAACGGGTTTTAAAGCTTTTGCTTAAGTGAGCACTGACTGGGATCGTTTATGAAGATTATATTTAATATCGCTGTACTTGAGCTAACTATCATCAAGCATCAATGTTGTACGAAGGTCCCAAGTAATTCAAATTTAATATGCATCTGAAGTTTATCCAATAATCTGGCTTCATAGAGAACAGAAATATAAAAATTTAAGAGATAACAATAACAGTATTTAGTGTACCGTCCATCGGCACGTTATCATACACAAATAACGGGCTAAAAGTCAGCCCCCAGAAATCAGACAACAGAAATGTCTACATACCCTCTTGGCCACCAGGAGATTGTTTTGTGCCTCTGCCCGTCTGTTTAGTTCCTGAGGCCAATAGCACTCTTAAGATTGGCTTCTTAGTCTCTGAAATATTCCACGGAAGAAGCAAGAAGTTCAGAGAAGAGGGTGCTGGCCGTATGTGACCAGAGTAAAATCTTCTAGCCAAAATTTCAGCTTTCTGAATTTGTGGGCAGGAGATTAAAGATCTTGGTCTGCTTTCTGATAGGAAGGGAAATTTTTAAACATGGTATTTTCTCTTTGAGTCCCTTTTGAGGTTTGGTTTGAGGTCCCATCTGTACTTCACGTGCTGATGGAATTATTTCTGAGGTTTGTCAGGAACTACGTATCGAGCTGGTCTACCTCATTAACAGTCTCAGTGGTGGCACTAACAATAGCTTGCTTTTTTCAAAACCCTGAAATTCAAGCCACCTTCTTATTCTGCCTATTCTTTATTATATCACATGAAAGATGGTATTAGAAATGCATGCTAGAGTTAATTTTTTAAAGGAAGATTGCCTAGATATGACTTATTATTCCCCTTAACTCCATGTCCTACTGACAGCCACCATCCCCAACATTGTCTGTTTTTCCCATGTGATTGTGAACTATAAAGTGCAATGCAAATGGGAGTTATTATTTTGTGCAATTTACAAAAAAAAGGTTTAAAATAGTTCTCATTGGCCAGAATTTCCATACAATCGATTTATTGTCACTTTTTGTCCTTCAGATTTCAATTCTATTGCTGTCAAAGAGTGTTTGAAGACACTCTCAAAAGTGGACATCTTTGACATTTCCTAATAGTTCCTGAAAACTCAAGAAATCTTGGAGTCCCGTTTTAAGTTTTGT